GGTTTCTCTGCATGTTGCCCTTGTCCAGACATAAGTATCTGTCATGCCCTACAGGGCGCTAGATGTAATCCCTGCAATCCCAGCTCTTTGGGGACCTTGATGTTGCTTTCCTAGAATCCAGGAACTAGGTTCTTAAGATCCTAAGGCCTTTACAGAATACTGTGTTCTTGTCTGGTGGGTTTACATTGCCATGTCTGAGGGGAGATGCCCGGGGAGCAGGCCGCTGCAGAACATTTCCAGGATCATTTTATTGACTGGGAATTAGCACTATGCCAATGCAAATTCATCTCAAGAGATTTCACAGAACACTTACTTGTTCAGTTATTTACCGTTTTGTTTTAGTTTTTCTCTGTCTCTTCCTAGTAGCTACTGCTCTTATCAACATGGTGGCCCACGTGCCACAATAAGGGAAGGATTTTGAGCTTCTCTCATTCAGTGGCCTCCACCCATCGTTGGAATGCCGTGGTTTTTAATGCAACCAGCTCCTGGGCAGCACTCTCCAGGTGCTCTGGGGTAAATATCCACAGTTCCACTATCACTGTGGACAGTCAAATCAGTTAATGGAGGAAGACTGAAAGAACAGAGGAAATTGTGGTTTCCAACCTCTTGCTAGGCATGCAATAACAAATATTTTGATAAATGTGGGGGTTCTTTGTGCCAGAATCCCCCACTCGCTGTTCTTCTAACAGTGTCCTTTCTGAAAGGTTCTGGAAGATTCAGATTCCCTCTCTGGAGGAAGACATTAGAATGATCAGGTTGTCCAGTGAGGAAGAAGGAGCTCACCCACCCGGGCTCACGCTCACTACTGATCGGTGCTGCTGGCTGCTTTTCACTCACTTCCGTATTCCAGGAACACATTTCCTGACAACTGGGGCTGAGCCTGGAGGACGAAGGCTGTGGAAATTCGGAGGGGAGAGAATATCTCTCCTCCTCAGCTGTGGCCCCGCAAGGCGTGGTCAGCTCTGCTCACACTGAGCTTCCACTGCAGAGAGTGTGGGCCGCCCCCAAACACACCACCAACAGGGCAGTTTAAACAGTGGAAACTTGGTTCTCACAGTTCTCAAGGCTGGGTGTTCACGATCAGTGTGCCTTCAGCATTGGTGTCCTTCAGGGCTGTCTTCCTAAGCCTGCAGAAGGCCACCCTTGTTCTGTACCCACAAAGGGCCTTTCCTCTTTGGGGTTCTTTTTTTTTTTTTTTTTTTTTGAGACAGGGTCTCACTTCGTATTTGAGACTGACCTGGAACTCACTATGAGGCCCAGGCTGGTCTTGAACTCACAGCGATCCTCCTGCCTCACCCTCCCGAGTGCTGGGATTACAGGCGTGCATCACGATGCCTGGCCTCTTTGAGGTTCTTAAAGGGTACAGTTATACTGTGAATGAAGGTCCCAGTCTACAACTGCAACTAACTTTTACCACTGCCTTGTGCCTTATTCCAAATATAGCTGTATCGGGGTTAGGGATTCAGTGTGTGAATTTGAGGGGCAAGTTGTTCAGTCCATGCCAGTGCTGCATGGATATCTGTTGGCTGCATGAGCTGTCTACAGGTGAGACCTGCAGTGATCGACGCAGTGGGTGATCTGGGGATTTCTGATGCTCAGTTGGAAGGAGGGCGTGGGAACCGGGACAGCGGGACAGTCCTCTGAGAGTGAGGGAGGACCGGTCCCTTCCGTTCACAGGTCTCAGGGTTGCTCCTTTACTACTGTGGAAGAGCAATGAGGCCCCGGTGGCGTCTCGGTGTCCTGTGAGCGGCGGCCTTCATTCTGGGGAGGGCTCTTCATAGCCACGGCCTGCAGGAGCTCGAGGCGGGAGCTCGGAATAACCGGGTATGGATGATTGCAGGAAAGCATCCAGGGGTGATTCAGGAGTCCAGCGCAGAATCGCCACTAACTTTAAACAAGCGAAACACTCGGGACATCCCGGGCCAGAATCCATGTCTTTTGAGTGCAGAGGTTCTGGTTCTGAAAATGATTTGAATTCATTTCCATCTCATAGCTTTTTAAAGGTAATCTTTAAATTGTATGCTGTGCTTCTTAGAGACAATTTTGAAGAAAAAAATGTAGGAAATGAGGCCACCTATGCAATTGCTCAGTACTTAAATGCATTTCGTTTCCTGGATTCTCTTACATAGTTGCATTACAAATTCATATAGATATAGATATAGATATATCTATATATATGTATTCCCCCCCAGGTCGCCATATGGTATTTATAAAATAATGGTAAAGGCCTGCGTCATACCCCAGCCAAGGATGTGCAGCCATGTCGAGTGTCCTCTGGTTACCACCATGCACACCAGGCAATGAGACAGCACTGCTGGGCCTCAGGGTTTACCTACCGAGCATATGTACGTACATATTGGCACACTCAAAAGCAGACAAAATAATCCATGTGTCTGCTGTTCCTTCGATGGCAAATCACCCTGTTCTTCAATATAAATATTAGAGAATTCACCCTTGGTTAGGTGAGAAATCAGTTTTTTCTTTCCTTTCTGTTTTCAACCAGTGACAACTTAATGAACTAAAAGGGACAATGGTTTTATCTCCAAGGGCAGATTTTTATCATCACTTCCAGTACTGTGCTGGGCATCTCTGCCAGGTGCCAGCATCATACTGTGTGCCAGCCTGACTTGGGCTTCCTCATACCCGCTACATCCCGAGTGTAATTTCATTCCTCACCCTTTGAGCAACCGTGAATTCTCTAACACACTGTATTTTCCAGTTACTATTGGCTTCCTTTTTGGGGGGGGGGGTTTGAGACAGGGTCTCACTATGTAGTTGAGACTGCCCTGCCCTGGAATTCACTGTGTAGCCCAGGCTGGTCTCGAACTCACAGCGATTCTCCTGCCTCAGCCTCCCGAGTGCTGGGATTACAGGCGTGCACCACCATTGGCTTCCATTTTAATTACAGTCTCTCTGAAGAAAAATAAATATCAGTTGGAAATTCACACAGACACGCACGCGCACACACGCTGCGTTCTCCCTGAGAGTCGCTCATCAAGTGTGTTTCTACCTCTGCGGTGTACTTATGCTGGCCCCAGCTTGTGACAGAGATGAGGGATGGACATTAAGGGCAGGGAAAAGAAGAACATTGTCAGGCCCGGCGAGGTTCTTGTAAGAGAACCAGTTGTTCCTTCTTGACCATGCCGCTCTCTGTGCTAGTGTGGGGCCCGGGTTATTTGATCCTCACAACTCTCACAAGGTAGTAACCCTTTGAGAATTGTGGCACAAGGCAGACAAGATGAACGTGGCTCTAATGCAGGCTTTATTCTTCTCAAACCTGTCCCTGTCAGCTTAATGCCCAGCCTGCCACTTTGCCCAACTGGTGCAGATGTTAAGGTTTTCAAAAGGGAAAAGTGACTCTAGTTCTTAAAGCAACTAAAATGAAGGGCCTTTGAGTATAAAACACTGAGCAACTAAGTACCATACATCCTGGCCTCCTATGGATACCTGGACCTAATATGTTTTTACCTGGTGTCCTACCTCCTTTCAAAACCCCTATAAGGCTGTAGACAATGCCTCCTATTTTTCAGTCTTGCTTGATTTTGTTTGTTTGTTTGTTTTTCTGGTACTGGGTATTGAACTCAGGACCTTGTGCTTGCCGGGCAGACACAGCACCACTGAGCTGGACCCCTGGCTCAGTCTTGCTTGATTTTGAATCCTCAACTTCTTCTCCGCTTTTTCTGCCCCAGCTCACTTCTCTCTCCAGAGGGCCCTCTCCGTGTGTGCGAATTGGAACAGGCCCCTGCGTGTTAAACCCGTGCATGTGAGCCCACACCAGCAGCACCTTCCCCTCACATGGCCCTGGGCTTTGGCTTTAACAAGCCCCCAGCTTTCCAGCTGACCTTTCTCTCAAAGCTGGCATTGTGAACCACCCCTGACTCCAACTTCACAAGGGAAGAAAGCGCCTTAGAATTACCCAACAGCCTTGTTCTAGAAATTCAACAGGCTATATGTGCTTTGTTCCATTGGTAATGCTGTTCTGCAGCATTTAGGTTTACAAGACAAAATAAGCTTTTAGATTCCTTTCAACCTGTTTTTAATTGAAAGGTAATAAGCTCTTTGCCTGAGAAAATAACTGTCCACCCGTGAACAGACACCTGGCATTTGTCCAGCAAGTGATAAAGTGTCGCTTTTGTATGCAAAGATAAGGATGGAAATGCAGAAACCCCGGAGGGAGGTCGAGTGTATCACGTTACCCTTCCCCTGCCCTGCAGGAGTGGTAGGAGAGTCTGTCCCCAAAGGAGACTGCTGTACCAGCAGGAGAGAGTGTGTTCAAGGTGGCACCAGAGCTCTTTGATTCTTAGCATGCTAAACCTGGCCTCTGAGAAGGTTGTGTCCTGGAGAAGTCACTTTTTCTGCCGAGGGTAAGTCCTGAAGCCAGTGTGACAGTGTCGCGTTGTAGAAGGATCTGTTGAAAATCCCTTCCAGTACCCGCAGCCCTGCGGCTCTCTACCATTTCTCCAGGCGTCCAGCCTTGTCCTTCCTCTGGAGTTAGCAGAGAAATGGACTGCGGCTTCCTCAGCTGAATACCAGGTTATTTGGAGGCCGTTAGATTGTCATGTGTGTTCGATGCCGCGGATCCCCTCGAAGTATGAGAGCCACAGCGGACTGGGCCTCACCCTCGGCTCGGTGCCGCACACTTCCTTTGTCTGTGCACACCCCTACTTTTACATGGATGCGCTCAGGAATGGAATGGGGAGTTTTGTACCGCCTTCAAATTGTTTGCTCTCTCTTCTACTTTTCTTTTTCAGCTGAAAGGATTACCGAGTTTGCACAAGTTAAAACCCTCTGGGTGTATAGCCAAGTGCACAGCTCCGGATACTTCTTAATTTCACTCTAGCATTGGAGCGAAGATGGCAGCAGCCATGGGGAAGCGTAGGGTGCAGCGGGCCCTCTGGTTCCAAGTCTTGAAGATGAGAGCGGATCACCAGTTCTGGGGTTGTGCTGGGGCGTGGCAGGCGGTGGAGGAGCGTCCCTCCTGATGATCTCTCTCTCTCCAGGCTAGTCCATTCGGGGCCCGGGAAGGGCTCACCCCAGGCTGGTCTGGATCTGTCCTTTGCAACACGAACTGGTACCAAGCAAGGAATTGAAACGCATCTCTTCCGGGCAGAGGTCAGCAGGGACCTCTCGCAGTGGACAAGGAGCATAGTACAAGGTTGCCACAACTCAGCCGAGCTCGTTGCTGAAGTCACCACTGGTGAGTACTGCTGACTGTGGCCCCGGAGTCATAACTTTATAGGAGGGACACAGCCTCTGCTCCACCTCAGCTTCAAAGGAGCATCTGTCGCCGGCCCTCCGGGGCACTTAAATCTCAAAATCTCAGTGGTAAACCATGTCGTACTCACCGTTTCCTCCTACCCGCTGTGCGCTCGGCATTTTATGTAATGCCTGGGATTTTTCCACACAGTGAAAAATGTTGTGTGTGTCCCAAATTAACTAATTGAGGCAAGGCCAACATTTTAAAAGGGAAATGAAATGGAATAGAGGTGTCAGTGTGAATATTGTTTTCACATTCTATATACGCATGGCTTGTGTGTCCTGGGCGCAGGCACCTGTCTGACTCTCTCATCTCCGCCAGGAAGCAAATTCTGAAGAAAGGTTAAGTGGCTTGCCCAAGAGCACGCAGCGAAAAGTGACAGAACTGACCTTAGCTGTAGGCTGTGTCACCCTGTGTCCATTCCCCACCCCGCAGTAGCTACGGAGACACGGCACCTCCCACTGTCGGAACAGGGAGCCGCAAACACCAGCTTTGTTCAGGCTGCTATGATCAACAGTTTTCATGTGATTCTCTAAAACAGACGGTAGACAGACGGTTGATAAACAGATGTCAGCACGTGAGAGAAATATGGTTGATTTTACTTTTTTAATTAGGCAAAGATAAGAGACTGAAAAAGTACTTGAGTCAACAGTAATGTTAATAAACAAAATACATACTATAAAATCTTCTATGTTTGCTAATCCGGCCTCCACACTTAGGCAAGTGTTGTTCCTCAGCCAGCACGACACACAGCTGCAGCATCCGTACCTCTGCTCCCAGTCCCGAGATCTAAGGCACATGGGTTTGGGCTCTGGGAGCTGTGGCCAACCTCTTCCAGTCTCCTGTGGACACACAGAGAGGCCGCCCTGTGGCACAGTCACAGCCTGGCCGGTCAGAGTCTCCTATCCTAGTAACTCCAACCTGGACTTGTTAGGGTTGGTTCTTGTTTTTCCATTTCTCTCTGTCTGAGAAAACAGCACAAGTGAGAAAAAGACACAAGTGGGAATTTTAAATTCACAAGACCTGGAATCAAACTACAGTTTTATTTCTATTTTAATCGCTTACTTAATCTTTTAGTTTCCTCATTTTTAAAAAGAGGGAAAAAATATCACCCACTAATACAAACAGCAGGATTCACTGCCTGGGACTGTCCTCAACAAGTGTTACTATTAGTTGCTGTCCTTATAATTATTATTTCCTGTTTTAGTTAGCTTTCCTATCACTGAAATAAAATACAGAACTCCCATAACTTGGAGAAGAAGTTTAATCTGACTTACGGCTGCAGGGGATTCAGTCCATGATTAACTGGCTCTCAAGAAGAAACATCAAAGTGAAAAACCATAGCAGAGGAAAAGGCAGAACAGGGAGCAGTGCCAGAGAGGATGGGGCCTGAAACCAAATGCAGTACCAGGATGGTGCCTCCACGACCCACCCAGAAAACACCTGGAAGTGTGTTTCACTAACCCTCTGAAGAATTCCCAAAACAATCAAGCTGAGGGGCCAGGGATTTGGCTCAGTGGTTCCACTGCCTGCTTTGATAGCACAAGGGCCTGAGTTTGATCCCTGGTACCACCAAAAAAAAAAAAAAAAAAAAAAAAAAAAA